TTGATTGATTGATTGATTAACTGCCTGCCTGATTCATTGATTGTTTGTTTGATTGATTGATTAACTGCCTGCCTGATTCATTGGTTGTTTGTTTGATTTATTGATTGACTGACTGATTGATTGATTGAAATTGGAGTCTCTTGCTTGAGCAGGGGATTGGACTAGAAGACTCCAGGGTCTAGAAGACTCTATTCTGATTAGTTGATTGATTGATTAACTGACTGACTGATTGATTGATTGAAATTGTTTAGGGTTTCTTGCTTGAGCAGGGGATTGGACTGGTCCCTTCCAGCTCTGTTCTGATTGATTGAAACTACGGCCAAAATGCATTGTTTATTTTTGCAATAGTTTAATGGGCTTTAAATTCAATTGAAAGAAGGCAAACACTGGTCAGGAATCTCTGCTTTAGGCCTCTCCAGATGCCTTCAGTGGAGTAAAAGTCTCACCTCTTCAGGAGCGACCTTGGAAGTTCTCAAGTCCTTCAGCCTTTAAATGTGACGGCTTCTCTACTTTTATGCCTGCAGCCACTCGTACTGCACCAGGACAGCAGCATTCTGGATTCTCAAACTCTCCGCTTAGAAAAAAGGACACTATTTCGGTAAGATTGGAAACCTGCTTGATGCCCTTCTCTTATGTCCTCCTTTCACACTTACAACTGTTGCCGCATCCCCTTGGTCACGTGAAGAAAAGGACCAGGTGAGACAGGAGAGCAGTGTTCCCAAGATTTGAGGGGCTGCCACAGAGAGGAGGAGGAGGGGGTCAAGCTATTTTCCAAGGCATCCAAAGGCCAGACAAGGAATAATGGATGGAAACTGAACAAGGAGAGATTCAACCTGGAAATAAGGAGAAACTTTCTGACAGTGAGAACAACCAACCAATGGAACAGAAGTTGCCTTCAGAAGTTGTGGGAGCTTCATCCCTGGAAGCTTTCAAGAAGAGATTGGACTGCCCTCTGTCAGAAATGGTGCAGGGTCTCCTGCTTGAATGGGGGTTGGTCTAGATGACCTACAAGGTCCCTTCCAACTCTTATTCTGGTATCCTTCCTTCCTTCCTTCCTTCCAATTCTGTTATTCTACTATTCTTTCTCCCTCTCTCCCACCTTCCTCCCTTCTTTCTCTTCTTCCTTCCTTCCTACCTACTCTGTTATTCTACTATTCTTTCTCCCTCCCTCTTTCCTCCCTCCTTTCTCTTCTTCCTTCCTTCCTTCCTTCCTTCCTTCCTTCCTTCCTTCCTTCCTT